CTGACATTAGCGGCCCACCAGGAAGGTGGAATTTGAAGTCAACCAGGGCTTGATGTTATGCAGACAAGAGATCAGAGTATGGAGACTCTATGGGACTCATAGCGTCATCCCGGAATATTAGAAACCTAAATGCTGGATGAATGGGAAACCTGCAGGAAGCACGCAGGGAATAGCCCAGAGCTGCGAGTTACTGGAGCAGGGGTGAGTAGGGAACACACACTCCGGAGAGGACATGCAGGCTGCTTGTGTGACCGTCACGGTTCCACATGGGCTTGTTCCCTCACTGCTCCGCTCTGCCGGTTTGTCCCTCACTGCCTGGGCACGAACCCGGGTCTCCAGCATCACGCAACAGAGAACCAGCCAGCTGAGCTAAAGGAGACCTCCCCCAGCCCGAGCGGCTGAGGTCCCTGTTATGCGCAGGGAGGGCGGTGACGTCACCGCGCTGCCACCAGCTCCGTTACACTTGCTGATTGTCGAGCTGAGTGCATCAAGCACACAGGCAGATATGGTTTAGTGATTAGTGAAGGACACAGGAAAATCCAGTGGTCAGAAGTTAAATCCAAATCCAACGCTTGGCGGACATGAGGAGATAAAGTCTGGGATGATCCAAGATACAGGTTACCAGACAAGCACTGCTAGGGGGTAATCTAGGAATGAGCACTCGAAGGGCTCAGAGTCGAAAATCAATGACAGCGCCCCGAGCAGAGTCAGAGCAGTCCCAAAATTGCCCTGAATCACCTGGACTGGCAAGATGGTGATTTGCCTCCAGGTGATCCAGGTCTCCTGTCAGTTGGTGTCCATGACAACTGGCAAGGAGTGATGGGTAGGTGGAGGAGAGGCCTGTTGGAATGGTAAGTTAGAAATTGGTCTGTAGTTCATGAAGCCAAGTTCGTTTAGTATAGAAGTGATTAATGCAGTCTGTAAGGCAGTAGGGACCACACCCATGGAGAGGAACTGTTGATAATATTGACAAATACAGGGCAGATATCTGGAAGGCAAGATTTCAATAGAGAGGAAGGGCAGGAATCTAGTAAAAAAGAAGTTGTTTTGCAGCTGTTCATTTTTTTAAATTGATCTAAATTAAATAAGCTACATTCTGAAAAGTCTGGTACAGAGGGAATGTGAATGGAAACATTAGGGCTCGAATCTGGATCAAGGCTAAGACTCATTTCAGATAGTTGTATATTTGTAGCATCAGTCTTGGTTTGGAAGAATTGCAGAAACTTAAGAGAGAGTAGAATAAAGAACAGAAATGTCAGGGGGTTAGTGATCTTGTTTATGATTTCCTAGTATTTTGCTAATTGTATCAGCAAATATATACTAGGAGGATCCGGCAGAAGCTTCGGCAGAGATTTGCAGGTGTTCGTTATATGTCTGACTGTGAACCACTAGGCTACATTTTTTGCTTAAGGCTTCCAGACACCATCCAGTTAGTTTCAAAGAGCCAAGTTCAGATAACACTGTACCGTGGAGAGGAGCACTTGAAGGAACCTGAGTGAGTTTTAACGGGGACGAGTTTATCTAAAGTATTGGTCAACGCAATGTTCAAATTAGTGACAAGGTCAGCTGTTGAAGATTACCAGTCTTGAACAAGTGGAGGGCTAAGGATTCAAGGAATCACGGTGGTTCACAGATTTCAGATTTCCAAAACAAACTGTGTGTTTACATATCACCGAAGAAAGAGGGGTACAGACATGAGATTACACATCACTATGATCAGAAATGTGTTGTTCGAGGTCATGAATATTATTAATGTTTGAGACATTCTGGCCAGAAGCAGAGTCCAGGTCAAGGGTGTGACCACAGATGTTGGGAGGGGGGGCGTAGACCAGTTGAGTCAGATCAAAACAGTCTGAAGTGGATAAAAATTCAGAATCAACATGAATATAAAATCACCAAGCTTTAATATTGGACAGGTCATAGTAGTTAATGGAGGGATTTGGAAAAGGTAGATCTTGCCAGAGCAATCTCTTAGAGACCTTTGAATAAGCAACAGCAGTAGATGACACACACAAAATAAGGCATATTTAGATTTTCATAAGGCTTTTGATACAATTTCTCATAAATGATTAATTCTCAAATTGCACGTAGGCATTCAGGGAAACTCAAGTATTTGAGTTGAGACTGAGAATTCGTTTTTAAATAAAAAAATATTCTAATCCAAAGCTGAGATCTTTACTGTGAAGGAGTCCACAGCAAGAGATTGAACTACAACCAAGTCCCTGACCCCACTGCCCAAATACCGAATGGGCCATTATTTCTGATTGTTACTGTTTAACATTCCAGACTCACACCAACAGGCTGCAGGAACTTATTCTCTTTAGTCTGGAAAGAAGAAGACTATAAGGAGACCTGATACAAATGTTCAGAATCCTCAAAGGCACAGCCAGCATCAATCCAGCAGACATCTTCAGTATCTACAGCATTTAAAACAAGAGACACCTCTTTACACAAAGGGTTGTGGGAGACTAGATGGTTCCTAGAAACAGTTGGACTCTTGTTTGTAACAATTTATTTTGTCATGTGGTTGGTGTTTAAAGACAATAGTATAGAATTTTATCAAACATCTGAGACAGTCTCTGCTTCTTCAGGGCACATTAGAGGAGGGGACTGTAAATATTAGCAGAAGCTACTTGTTTGTGTTTTGTGAGCGACAGTATTAATTATTACCTTGCTGGTTAACATTTTAACCCTCCCTTCCCTCTCCCTCTCTCACAATCATCTCTGTTAGACTTGAAGAGCTGTATCGACCAATCAGGATCGAGAGAGAGAAAGAGAGGGCATTTCTCACAGAAACACAGTCAGACAGTCTGAGAGTCAACACTGACGAGCACTGAGAGAGAGGTAAGTCTGAAAGGGAAAAAGGCTCAATGACCACAGCCTGGATATAGAAACTGGACATAGACAGACTTGACTGTCCAGAAAGGACAGACTCAGCAATGACAGCCTGAACTTCAAACTGGAGATAGGCAGGCCTGACTGTCCAGAGGGGTAGTCTCACTCTCTCACTCCAGCACAAGTGACCACAGCCTGGACATAGAAACTGGACACAGACAGACCTGACTGTCCAGAGAGGACAGGCTCAGTGACCACAGGCTGGACTAGAAACTGGGCGAAACAGGTAGACCTCACTGTCCAGAGAGGACAGACTGTGCTCCCACTACCAGCAAAAGAAAACAGAGGGAGAGATCTACTGCGTTGTGAGAAATACTCTCGGATTAGACAAATATTATTCCTGAAAAATAATAAATCGAATCCCAGAATTTCCGCATCTCCCAGCGACTTCCAAACATGCTGGTGGAGGAATCACAATAGAGCTGCAGCCCAGTATGTGATCTCCTGTCACAGGCTGAGGAACAGAGAGTGAGCCTGACTCTCAACAATGTTATCCTGTTTTTGTAATTGCGTAGATATGCCAGTGAAACTCTTGAGTCTGTTTGAGAGACAGACACAGGCTGAGTGTCAGGGACAGACAGAGGGGAAGATGGAGGGCGCTGGTTTCTTCGTTACACTAATACTGACTAATTATCCTAGACTCTTCTTTATTTCTCAAGCCTGTGTTTTAGCAGGATTTGTAAAAGTAATTGGTCTGGAGCCCAGGAGAGGTCGCTGTTCCTGTCTGCTCCTGCCTGTATTTCACTCTCTCCTTATTCCTCTGTCTTTAGACATGAGGACATTGTGGATCTTGAGCGTCTTCACACTTCTGCTGCTCGCCGAGGTAACAACTCGCTGTCATTGTATCACACTATTGCATTGTCACATTGTTACACTGCTGCATTGTCATAGTCTCCGAGTGTCTCATTGTCACATTGTTACCGTCGCCAGGTGTCAGACTGTCACAATTTCACATTCTCACACTGTAACAATGTCACATTGTCACACTGCTGCATTGTCAGTCACAGTCTCCCAGTGTCTCATTGTCACAGTTTCACATTGTCACACTGTAACAGTGTCACATTGTCACATTTTCTCATTCTCACATTGCTACAGTGTCACATTGTCACACTGCTGCATTGTCACAGTCTCCGAGTGTCTCA